CCTTGTAGAATGGTAGTGGTAGGATGATCGAAGCTCTGCCATATTGCTTTCTGGTCAGAATTGTATACAACAAAATTACCAGTATCAAGCATCGAAGCTGTGGCAACTTTTTCATCGGTGATGTATAACTCTCGTCCTTGCGGAGATTGCAGAAAGAGCCTTCCATCAGTCGTAAGATTCAAGCTAGCAGTGCTTGGAACAGGAGGATCATCTCGGTTGGCTGTCCAAACCACTGTCCTTTGGGGAACTCCAGCAAGAAAAATTCCTACAGCATAGCCCTTAGCAGCTTGCTGGTAAAATCCAAAGGCATATAGGCCAGAAGGGGATAGCCATGTGGATTGGCCTGTGGGTGTTAACGATGAGCCTGGAGTTATGTTGGAATTCCTTGGTTGAGCTACTGCAGTTGAAACGATGGACAGAAGAAGTAAAAATATAGCGGCCATGGCTAAATGAGTTAGAGAGATATCCTTTCTCTGGTTTTGTGAGCTTTGAGTTACACAAGATTAATTAAATATGGATTCAAGGAACTCTTTTTGGTAGGATGAAAAGTTTTTTTGGAGACAAGTCTAGGATTTTGGTGGGGATGAGTATAAACAATGAGAAATATGATTACCTCGTCAACCATTTCAGTCAGAAATGTCTTCGTAGACAAGTCAATTGATGTCAGTACATATATTTTCCATCTTTAAGTACTTTTGGAATGCTTAGTCCTTTCTATTCACGCGTAGTTTTTACATTTTTATGTGTAAACTTGCGTGCAGTTGTCAAAGGAGCACTAATGGTTTTTCATTTTTTTTTTTATTAAAAGCAAGAACAAAGAACCATTAGGATAAAGTAATATAGTAACAATAATAGCGTGACTATGATCAATAGATATACAATAATATAGATTATAGTGCAATTTGAACCATTTAAAATATAGGAAATTGAATGAATTGGAGAGTGGAGCCCTCATCTTTCCTTCTCATCAATCTGTTAGTTTTTGTTCGACTTTTTTTTATCAACTTTTTGAATAGTTGCAAGGGAGAATCTTATTGGAAACGTCAGTAAACCCCAAGTCTGATTTTTTGCTAGTCTAGTTGGTACTTAGCATTAACCCTTTTAATTTGGATTTGAAGATAATAATATTATTGGATGTGCCTATATATTATTTTCAAATTATTCATCCACAATAAATTTCTTTTTTTTTTAGTTGACTTTGAAATCTTGATATATTTGTCCTCAATATTCAATATATTCATGATTTTAACGTATGCATTTTTTTTTTTTAAAAAAAATGGCATTTTGTGTGATGTTGCTCTGGAAGTAGTACTATCCCATTCTTAATATTTTGTTCAAACCCTCATTCTTAGTTGTTTCGGTTTGATTTTTTTAATTCATTAAACTAAACTCAATCATTATTATTATTATTAAATTATTATGAAAAATTAATTTTCAAGAAAAAGAGTGCTTTAAATTCAAAAATTTTAATTTTATTTTTATGAAATTTAAATATACACAATCTTCTGATAAATAATGATGTATCAAAATTGACTTATTAGTATAAGGGAAAAAACGTACTTAAAACAAGAACAAAGAAATTGAATAGAGGAAGTATGACATTTCCACAAGAGAAATGTCAGAATTAAATGCATGGGTGCAGTCAATATTATTATTTTGAATTTAAAAGAAAAGATTGTTTCCATGTTGAAACTCAACTTCAGGAACACGCTTTCATCACATCTGATAAAACAATACTAATTCAAAGTCTGGGGATTTGGCAAAGATTTCTAATTTATTTCAAAAATAGTAATAATAATAATAATAAAAACTCTCCTCTCAAATATGATTTTTTTTACTTTTTTTTTTTGCTTTTGTTAATTTGATTGATTACTATGTTTAATTATATTTTGATCCCTAATTTAAAAAAAAATCTTTTGCTGGTAAATTGATTTAGCAAAACCCCACACTAATATTAAAGAATTTAGTAGTGACCAAATGTTATTGCAGTATAAATTATATATATATATATATATATATTATATATATATATATATATTAGGATCATGTTCCTAAAATATCGCTGAAATTTTAGAAAATAATAAAATCATGAATAGGCACATGTTTTCATTGAAGAGTCAATATTGCTATTATTATTTTGCCAGGTTTTGGCGTACATGACTTAATAGAGCAGCACCAATTCAAAGTCTTTGGGATTCAGCAAAGATTATTCCAATGCAAGTTGTAACATTCAATAGGTTTTGTTCCATTAATTCCAACTAACAAGGTGACCCTCATAACACTTTTTTGTACCGAGTTAGCTACTACATAGTCCTCTCTATGTCTACGGAGTTTCTCTACCGCCAATCGTATTGTTAAAACGTATGCATGACAATTTAATGTCTAATATTGAACCAATGAAATTTTATCTTATCAAGAAGATCGAATAGTATAATAAAGAAATGTAAAATCAAGAAGCATTTTCTAAATAATAATTTACCTTGAAATATACAAAATGTACATTTAAGTGAAATTCATATTATATCAAATTAATATAATCCGTGCATCAAATATGCAAATAACTCTATATTATTAAAATTTTTTAAAAAATATCATATTTAATGTAACATATTTCCCCATACAAAAAAGTAAGAAGTAATAGACTTTGATGATGTTTTTTTTTTCTTTTTACTAAATATAAAATCAGACTAAATATAAATTGTAAAAAACTCTTAAAAAATGAGCTTTAGAAAAGCTCCCACGAGTAACTTTTTTCTCTTTTTTTTAAAAAAAATATTAAAAAATTATTTTTATTTCAAAAATATTCTTATTATTTAAAAATAATTACAATAAACCTTTTCAAATAAAAAAATACCCTTTACAATAATTTTAACCAAAATTATAACTTATAATAAAAAAATTATAAAATAATTTACCTAACAACTTCAACTTAATTCTAAAATTATTATTTTTCATAAAAACTTCATAAAATTTTAAATTAGAAAAAAACTAAACCAACCAAGCTCTTAAGAGTTGACAAAGTTGACTGACCTAAATCACCAATTAAATTTCAAATAATCCAAACTAAATCTAAACTCAAATCAATTCTATTTGTTTGAAAAAAAAACAATAATCTAAATTGACTTAACTCAAACCCAAATATTAAACTTAATCTCAAATTCAAAATTACCTAAATCCAAAATGATTCAAACTTGAAATGATCTCAACCAAAAACACAGGAATTGACCTTCCCCATTATAAAAAAAAAAATTTCTTTTTAGGTCTTTACTCTCGAATTAACCTTTCTTTTGCATTTCGACTGAACTAAAATAAGAAAAGAAAAGGGTGAATAACATAAAGGTATAAGGTTGGTGGCGTCCCACATTAATCCTTTTCTTGATCCCTAAGCTCATTTCCAAAGTGTACAATTATTCATTGGGACGCTAGAGTTGCAGAATTATAGAATAATACAACTAGGATAGCAATTCGATAACCTTTATTTACTGAACGTATGGAATGACCCTAACACCTTCCTTCGTCTAACCTACAAAAGAAAATGCTCATTTCAGCCATTCATTCTTATCCATTGGCAAGTTATTGGGACCTACAGGACGGAATTAATCAACAAATACACAAAAATTGACCATTCAACACGTAGCAAGTGCCCAGTGGGCATGCGCGAAGTAAACATTCCACCAATACTCACGAAAAGAGACTGTTTTTCTAGGTGCAGCCGAAACAACCTGACAGCAGCACTTAAGATGCAGAGTGCCCATGAAAGGGCCAACTTCAGTCTATTTGCAACATACGTTATTATGAAGTAAAACATCCATCTCGAAGCCTGAAATTTGTCCACATGTTTTGGACATTACAGAAAAATTACAAAAAATAGATTAAACTCCTTCCCATCTAGACACTTCAATGACCAACCTTGCAACTCATTCTACAGGTGAATCTGAGCGGAGAGCTGAGATAGCAAACAACAAGATATAAGATTAGAATAGTTGTCATGATGGGAGAAATTAAAGACCATAGCTGCACCATTAAATTTGGCAAGCAAATGCAATTTTTAGAGCATAAAACATAGATACCATGTTCCCTTCCAAGCCCACACATATCCCATAACATACACAGAGATACATGAGAACACCTAGTTGGGAAAAAGTTCAATGCATGCAAGTGAAAAATTAGTTAACTCCTACTCAAAAATTCAATTCAATCCTGATCTTTTCTCTCTTTTTCTACATTGAAATGTTGTTCCCCGGAGTGATTAACCAAATTGCTAAAAGGGAACATACATACATGAAGCATTTTCTTAGAGCCACACCCTCACTTCGAATGACCAATTTTATTTCCAGAAGTGCTCACATAACAGAATATAAAAACAAAACTTAAACATTTTGTTCATTTTAATTCTACGTGAATGATAGGATGGTGATATCAGCAATGTTTTATTCTGAAAAGTGATTAAAAGAACCACCACAACAGGAGAGAGTGAGAAAAGTGAAGACAAGGTGCAACTTGGACAAACCCAGAAATCCTATCTCTTTTCAGAAGGAATCACATGGCTGTAACAATAATTTTGTAAGTGAGCAAATTAAATTCAAAGGTTTGCTTTAATTATACTTATTTCCTTGTAGATGGCAACATCTACAATGATTCCTTTGGGTCTGGAAAGCACTAGTCACACGTCATCTGCTGACATACATACCCAAAATATCCTTTTAACCATAAGGTCAGCATATACTCACATATGATTAAATTTGTCATGATCCAAGTGAGGAAGAGTAGGTGTTGATAAACACAAAGAGATAAATGTGCTTTGACCAAACCACAGTGTCATTTGCAATGACCCTAATATATATCATGTCGGACATGGGAAAGCAACAAAAGGGGCAAAGAATAATATATAGAGACAGAGCATATCATATAGCCCCATACAGAAAATGAAGGAGTAACATATATGCTGCATAGATATTAGAGATCAGCAGAAGGTAACACAGCCAACTTACTTTTCATACATCAATCCAAACAAAGATAGTCGCAACACAATACAAAAGCATGAAAAAATTTGAAGGACTTGCCCACATAATGCATGGTTCACACCCATCTAGCAAATAAATTCATGACTTCAAACATCCTACGCTAAATGACATTTCAAACCACAATAGGTATTCATAAAAGATTTATGCTGTCTAGATCACCTCAACTATTTTTTCTCACTTACCCAACATTAAGCAAAGGAAGCCAGATAATTGAACATCCCACCCACTTCTCTCAAGCATACCGGTGAGTGGTTTTCTATCTCAAACAAAATCCATCCACATCATCCAAAAAGATAATATGAAGGAAACCAAGTAGGCTTGCTCAAGTGTTAAAAGACCCAGAGTAGACCAATGACCAATTAATTGAACAATTAAGCCAGTGACACAAGTCATTTATGAGACCTAATAAGGATAAAATTGTAAACTTCAGTTGATCTAATTAGGTCTTAATAAATTTTTTCGACCGCCTAGGTCAAGTAAACCTGCAAGATACGAGCTTGTGGAATCAAGCGACCCATAAACAAGCTATTGGGGAATAAAGATCAGCAACCAAATTTTAGAAATGCAAACAATACATAAATGAAACAAAGAAAATAATTTTAACAAAAAAAGGACAATAAACATGGTAGGATACCAACTTTACACCAAATTGGAACAGAAGTGGGAAGAGAAAACAACTTAGCAACCTGCTCTTAGCTGAAGTTACTTACCCAAAAAACTAAAGACAACTAGAACACTGACCTGACTTCAAAAACTATAACCTACACCAAATGGTTTTCAAAATCCAGAACCATAATCTCAAATGAACGGAACCACAACCACGAAAGCAAAATTATCAAGACTTCCATTTTTCCTTCAAGAAACTTCATAGAATATTAAAAAAGGTTATTCAACTAAGGATATATTTAGGTTTACACATAATGCAAAAGGGTCTTAAGGGTACTTACATTCCGATATTTCCCGGTTTCAATTATAATTTCAATTTTGTGCGTCTTTTTCCACTCCATCAGGAAAACCATCATAATTTACCTCTAATTTACTTCTAATTTCAATTTTGTGCGTCATTTCCTATTCCTCTTTTCTTTCTACGAAAAACGAACAATCCAAGTAAAATAAAATAAAATAAAATAACATGGACCAATTCCTGATTAACAGAGAATATATAGCCAATAAAACTCTTTACTAATCATCCAAAAAAACCCTAATGCATAACAATTAAATCAAACAAAATATGAACAAGAAATGATAAGGAAAAAACCCAGATCTGAAATATAAAGAGGAAGGTAAAAAGACTTACTGGGCTTTTCAGGCTTTCCATTGGTCCACTTGGAGATAGAGAAATGGACTTTCTCACGAGCAAGGGCTTCAGTCTTGTAGGGTTCCTTCAAGCAGTTTCTGACGAGATTGGCGCATATGTTTGAGTAGGTGATATACGTCATGCCCGCTGCACGCCAGAACGGCACCGCCGCGTTCGACGCCATTTTCTTCCTTCCTTGATTGTGGCTGCAAAACCTACAGACTATGTAGGAAACGATAGAGGACCTGTTCGTTCTTATTCTATGGGGGCCTTTTATTTTATGTATTTTATTATGGACCTCTGGACCTGGGCTTCATTACATACACTTTGTTGCCTCAATAGAAAATTGATTCTTTATTAATTTACCATTTTTTTTCCTCAAAGAAAAGAAAAGATAGGTTTTTTTATGACATAATATCTAAAAAAGTCTCAAAATTATTCAGTAAAATTCAAATATGCTTTTATTCTATTATAATATTTAATTAAATTTTTATATTTTTATTTTGAATCAAATAAGTTTTTATATTTTTATTTTAAGTCTTATAATCTTTTATTACTAATGATTAACTTAATCAAAATGTCATTTATCATTTTATATCACGTAACATACTAGCATATCATAATTAATAATAATATAGCATGTTGGTATATTATAATTGATGATGACATGTCATATTAATTTGACATAATAATATAATCATATGATATTTTTTACATTCCACATTGATATTATGTTGGTGTCATATGAATAAAAAATTGACAAATGATATTTTAACTAATAATGATTAATCAATCATTAATTATAAAAGCTTATTTAACTCAAAATAAAAATACAAGATCTTGATTGAATGTAATAAAAAAATAAAAATTTATTTGAATTTTCTTAAATAGTTTGAGAATTTATATGAGTATTATGTCATTTTTTATTTTATTTTAAAATTTTCTTGTAGAAAAATTAGTGTATATATATATATATATATATATATATATATAGAGAGAGAGAGAGAGAGAGAGAGAGAGATGAAGTGAGTAAATCATTTGTAACTATTTTATTTTATTTTATATAAATTAATAATATTAGTATTCATGGAACTCTGTCATACATTCTTTATATTAATAAAGATCATCATGCTTGAAAAAAAAAAACTTCCATAGCCCTTCCAATGGGAGATAGAGAATAAGATACAATAAATCAACCGTCTATTTTATTGTATTGGACTAACACTCAGTAATAATTATAGGTAGCTTTAGGAAAGTAGCCTGTAAACTTAAGGACTCTGTGCAAACAATAGGAATTATTCAAGTTAAAGACACTTGAGACATATGTGACTTAAATTGATAATGGAAGCTAAAGCATGCTTTACGTGCCGTCGAGGGAAGAATCGATCGGAGGTAATGGCATATCAAAAGCTACAATCTTCTTGCCATTGGATAATTCACCTTTAAACATTGTTCGAAAAGCCCCTACCAACCTCCTTTTTAAAATTATTAGTGACTTTCTCTAGCTCTACCTAAGTAAATGATTTAGGATCAACATCCTCAATTAATTTAATATTGATTTTTTTTTAAAAAGTAATTTTATTAACACTAAAGCCCTTATGCCAATCGAAGTCTTTGTACTTAAAAGGCCTTTTTTGGCATATAATATCTGTCCTACGCATGATCATGAACTATACAATTACTAAACAGTCCATCACTTCAAATTCCATGACAACCTCTCAATCCTAAGTAAAGCTATATACAATGTGAAATAGCTCTCAACCCTTTTCTTATAAAACCTTGATAAATACCCAAAAAGAGGGCTCAGCAGGCTCAGCACACTACAAGAACCTTTATCAGGCAAAGGACCTGTAGCTTACATATAACAAGGAGCAGTCTCTTTACTTAAAGTTCTTACCAATTAGCTCATACTTGCCAAGCTCAAAAAGTTAAAACCAAAGAAACACTAGCTACATAACAGAACGTTTAATTCCTCTTTGAATGTCACCAGCATCGCCCACTACAACATTTTTTACTTTTTAATGCACAATTTTAGTTACAAT